GATATATCAGCAACGAACGGATCGAGTAACGACTGTGTCTAAGCAATAGTGTGCTTAAGTACACAATCATTTAATAAACGACAAGAACATCGTACCAACGTCTTTGGTTTTATTCTCTGTGAGCGATTTTCAAGCAGAACGAAGCGTGCACTCATATTGTGTTCGCAATGTGAATAGTCCGTAAACTTGTATAATGCGGTATGATATACGCGTGAACAGTCGTAAAGAGGTCCAAGGTTAATTGAAGTAGCAGATCCAATTGTGATACATGTTACTAATAATAACAGTATACCTGCAAGATTATATATGGACCTAAAAATATGTAGCGCTTGCTTCGGATTACGCAGCTGTGTATGTTGCTGCTGATTCGATGTCGGGGTCTTGCAAGACAATGAATTAATGGAGGGTTGTGTTGGTTCTTGCGTTACCATGTCTGATTCTGTTACCCACGAATTTTGTTCACTCGGAAAACCTAACCATTTGACGAGATATTGTTTCTGGCCCTTTCTCAAGCGCGTCTTCAAAACTTTTTCAATTTGATATATTCCGTTGTCATTAACATGGTCTGGCTGACTAGGCACGTTAGAGGTATGCGTTTTTCCGTTTATTTCTGGCGTTTCATCATCGGAAGAGGAGTCTGATTCAGTGTCTCGTTTGTTTTCAAAGCTGTCCTGTGGAATTTCGTCTTCGCGCATAGTAAAATCATTCTCAAGTGGGTCATTAGGAGGCTCAATTGGGCATCATTCGCGTCATAAAAGAGTTTCATACAATTAACATGTACCGGTGTTGAAATAAGACGATTTGCTGAATTTCTTAACTTAAAGTTCACAGGTGATACTTTCTCTACAATACGATAGGGACCATGCCAACAATGCAATAATTTTTTCGACAACCCCTTTTGGGTCTTTGGTGAAAATACCCAGACACGCTGCCCAATTCTATAAGCATCTGGTTTGGACTTTAAATCGTAGCGTGCTTTCATTTGTTGTTGAGTTCGTTCCGTGTTTACTTTAGCTAATCGCTGCGCTTCCTCTATTTGTAAGACGATATGAGCCCTATGTTCCGCAATGGACGTTGAGAGCTTATCAGTTTGAGGCGGTAAGATATTGACATCTATAGGTAGACGCGGTTCGCGCCCATATAGAAGATAGAATGGGGAATCCCCAGTTGTCGCCTGTGGTGAGGTCCTATATGCAAATAGTATGGTAAAAACTCATCCCAATCCTTTTGATTTGCTGATACATACATTGATAAGGACTGCGAAATAATGCTATTAAATCGTTCAACGAGCCCATCCGTTTGTGGGTGATAAGCAGTGTGTTGAGTTTTTTAATGTCTAATAACCCACACACTTCACGAATTAGTTTTGACAGAAAATTTTTACCTCTATCTGAAAGCAACGTTTTTGGCGCTCCATGTCGACAGAATATTTCATTCACAAGCAATTTAGCTATAACTGTGGCTTCAATTGTCGAAACTGCAAATGCCTCTGGCCAACGTGTAAGGTAGTCTGAAAACACTACAACGTATCGGTTTCCTGAATACGATTCCGGATATGGTCCTAAGCAATCAACAGCGACTCTATCAAACGCTCCGTCGACAGGAATTGGTAATAAAGGAGCCTTAATCCTATTTCGCTGTGTTTTACGCATTTGACAATCAATACAAGACCTTACCCAATGTTGTACATCCGTGAACATACCAGACCAATAATAACGCGTCCTGATTTTTTCATACGTTTTTTCTAAACCTAAATGACCACCTAGCGGGCTATCGTGCAATGACTTTAATATTTCAAAACGCAAAGAAGTGGGTACGACTAGTTGAATTTTAGTATCAGGTCGGTTGCGGCCTGTCGGAGTCAACAAATGATGTAATATGCCATGCTCATCTAGTAAAAACTGGTCAACTTGGTGTAAAATAGTTCTTGAAGCTTTTTCCTTGTCTGGCAGTGTTTTTGTTTCGAGATATGTGATAAGTGGTACCAAATTTGCGTCTTTTCGTTGCATTTCATGAATTCGTGCCATCTCGTTACAGAGAGGTTTTAAAGCATCTAAGGTACTAGAATAAGCACGCCGTGAAAGGCTGTCTGCGTTGCCATTAGCTATACCTGGGCGATGTTTTATTTCGAAATCAAATTGCTGGATAAATAAGGACCATCGCGCTAATCTTCCGGTGACATCTTTGACACTCGTAAGCCATTTTAAAGCGTTATGATCTGTGTGCACCGTGAACTTATGCCCATACAAATACGGTTGAAATTTCTTTATACCATCAATCACCGCCAAAGCTTCTTTTTCTGTAGCAGAATACGAGAGCTCGGCCGAATTTAAACTGCAACCAGCATATGCTATCACAACTTCCCGCTTATTTTGAATTTGACCTAGGGTCATTCCTAATCCATCCAAGCTTGCATCTACATTTAAATCGAATTGTTTTGTGAAGTCAGGGTAACACAAAATTGGAGCTGATATTAATGCTCTCTTCAAAATATCGAACGCCGTTTGACACACATCCGTCCACTGAAATTTTACATTTTTGTGGAGTAATTGCATAAGCGGTTTGGCAATTTTGGAAAAATCTTTTACAAAACGTCGATAATAGTTAGCTAGGCAGAGAAAACTACGCACATCCTTAACCTTTTTTGGCACAGGAAAGTCTTTTACTGCACTAATCTTATCTGGATCTGGCTGGATTCCTTCTCGCGAAACTATGTGGCCCAAGTATTTGACTTTAGGAAATGCAAAATGGCATTTACTAGATTTAAGTTTGATGTTAGCTTGTCTAAGGCGCAGAAATACCAAATCTAAATGTTGCAAATGTTCTTGAAAGGAATGGGAGAATATGATTATGTCGTCGATGTATATGAGACATATTTTCCAATTTAATCCTCGCAAGACGTTTTCCATCAATCGCTGAAAGGTAGATGGTGCGTTACATAGTCCGAAAGGGAGTACATTGAATTGATATAGGCCGTCATAAGTGGTAAATGCTGTTAATTCTTTTGACGATTCGTCCATTTCTACCTGCCAATATCCAGAAAACAAATCTAAGGTTGTAAAGAATTGTGTTTGACCTAATAAGTCCAAAGACTCTTGAATATGCGGTAAAGGATAGGAATCCTTTTTTGTTACAGCGTTCAGTTTCCTGTAATCAACACAAAAACGAGTTGAACCGTCTTTTTTCTTTACGAGCACTACTGGACTCGCCCATGGGCTAACTGAAGGTTCAATAATCTCAGCCTCAAGCATTGTCTGGATGTGTTCTGTTATCGTTTCACGTTGTGTTGGTGCAGTACGATATGGTCTCTGTCGTATAGGTGGAGAACCATCCGTAAAAATTTGGTGTTTAACGATGGATGTTCGACCTAAATCATGTGTACTTTGTGAAAAGATATCCGCATTATCCGATAAAAAACTATAACTGTCGTTGGTTGAAAATAAACGCTTTTAATCTTTGAACCTTGCAAAAGGTTCAACCATGTGCCGAACAGTAAAACAACAAAAAAAACCAGAGCCCAGGCATGCGCAATATAACTCGCTCCGGGCTCCACGCGCTACGTTCGCCTTTACATGGCTCCCCAAAATGTTTTACAAAAACATTTTCTAAACAATGTTAATATAAACCGTATACGTGTCCGATAATACGTTATTATTAAACGTGGCTCCTCGTCGGGGAGTCCCGGTCTCTATACTTTTTTACTCTAGTTCAGTCTCTAGTAACAGTACGAGTTTATCTATTGGTCTTTCTAATGTTGATCCACTGGCCATTCTTAAGTGGACAGATCGTGCCAGTCCTTGTTCGTCAGTCTTGGTGCTCATGACTCTACCAATAGACCATTGATTTCTTGCGAGATCCTTATCTTTTACCAACACCACGTCGCCCACTTCAAAATTCCGTCTTTCTTTATTCCACTTTTGTCTTGGCTGCAAACTTTGTAAGTATTCATTTTTCCATCTCTTCCAGAATTCGTTGGTTAAGTGTTGAACTTGTCTCCATTGCCGTCTGCAGTATAGGTCAGTACGTTGAAATTTCCCAGGGGGTGGTAATACCACCTTCGATTTACCCGTCAAGAGTGTCATCGGTGTTAGTGGTTCGAGGGAAAATGGGTCGCTGAGAGACTTGGTGGAAAGAGGACGGCTGTTAATGATGCCCTCAGCTTCGCATAGTAAGGTTCTAAGTTTCTCGTCATTCAGCAGGTGACCATGTTCCTTGATTTGGGCAGCTAATATATTTCGTATAGATCGTATCTGTCTCTCCCAAACGCCTCCGAAATGACTTGCTGCGGGTGGATTTCTTTTCCACTCGATATTGTTCTTTAACAACTCAGCTTTCACACTGTCATCATCCATTTCTTCATAAGCCCGCTTGAGTTCATTGTCCGCACCGACAAAGTTAGTTCCTTGATCACTCCTGATTTCTCGTACAGGTCCTCTTCGCGAAATAAATCTTCTCAAGGCTTGCAAAAACGAATCTGTGTCAAGCGAATCAGACACCTCAATATGCACAGCCCGACTTGCGAGACACGTAAAAAGAGATCCGTACCGTTTAACTTCTTTACGTCCCTGTCTTATTAATAATGGTCCAAAATAATCGATCGCGCAATATGTGAAAGGTGGAGCAGGTTCCAGTCGTGATTCAGGTAGGTTTGCCATCTTTTGTTCGCCTACGGATCCGCGGAGATATCTACAAGTAACACACTTAGCCAAAACTGATCGAACAGCTGCGTTTCCGTTTACTACCCAATAGCCATTTGTGCGCAGTTCATTCAGGGTGATTCCTCTACCACTATGTTGGACCTTGGCATGAAAATGTCGAATAATTAAAATCGTCAGGTGACATTTCTTCGGAAGGATGATGGGATGTTTAATGTCCTTACTCAGATTTGCTCGGTTAAGTCTTCCTCCGACCTTTAAAACTCCATCCTGATCTAAAAAGGGGTCTAGCCTGTAAATGCTACAAGTTGCTTTCGTCATAGCCTTCTTCTTCTTGGCAAACTCTCAATCTTTGAGATCATTAGTTACTTGAATTTGCTGTAACAGTTCGATTTCTTCCGAATAGGCATCGTGCTGCATCCACTTGATGATTACCACCTCTGCGTTCTTTAGGTCATTCACGCTGATTGGCGATGGCGTACTGCTTCCGTTTTTGACCCTTTCTTTCAACTTTCGAACGTATCTTATGCAATTGGCGATTGCTAGTTTAGCTCGTACCCATGAAGAAAACCGTTCCAATCTTTTGAGCATACCTACTTCTCGCACTGACGAAGCCCTCGCTTTGACTTTCTTTACTTCCGGGTTGCCTTCCTCGAGCTCGCGTTGCTCAACTCGTTGCTTTGGCCAATTATCTTCGGTCTGCCACAGGAAATCTGGGCCAGTGATCCACTTCGATTTCTCTAGAAACGCTTTCGCTGTCATACCTCTGGAAGCTTCGTCCGCTGAGTTGGCTGCCGTGGCAACATGCTTCCACTTTTCAGGAGCTGTATGATCGCGTATCAGTTGCACGCGATTAGCGACATAGACGTGAAACCTTTTGGATTCGTTGTTGATAAAGCCAAGTACTACTTCGCTATCTGTCCAGTAGAAATCGTCTACGTCCTCGTAATCTAATTCGCATTTTAGCATCTCAGCCACTCTGACAGATATGGTTGCTGCGGCTAGTTCCAGCCTAGGAATGCACACTGTTTTCTGTGGTGTAACTCTTGCCTTGCCAGCAACAAATGAGCAGTGTATTCGACCATTTTCATCGGTTAAGCGAAGATACGAAGCTTGGCCATAACCTATCTTCGATGCATCAGATAAGCTGTGGAGTTGCTTAGACACGACCTTTCCAAAGTCTCTTGGTTTGAAGCTTCGTGGAACAGCTAGTTGCTCAAGTAAATGAAGTTCATTTCTCCATTTCTCCCATCTTGAGTATAGATCATCAGAAATAGGTACATCCCAATCTGAGCCTCTACAAACATCTTGCAATATTCGTTTTCCAACGAGGATGACGGGCGCAATGAGGCCCAAAGGGTCATAAACGGAACTTATCGTAGAAAGGATTCCTCTTCTCGTGCATGGTACATCCTTCAACTCGATTCTAAATTTAAGACTATCTGATTCTACGCACCAAAGCACTCCTAGTGTCCGTTCAATAGGTAGCCTGTCTTGACCAAGTTCAAGTTCCTTTATATTCTTCGCTCGATCCTTCAAGGGAATTGACTGATTTACTTCGACACTATTGCTTATGAACTTGGTGAGATTAAAACCTCCCTTACAACACATTTCTTGGACATCCTTTACAAGGCCGACAGTTTCATCCACTGTGGGTGTTGATTTTAAACTATCGTCCACATAGAAGTTTCGACGAAGGGTATCTGCCGCTTTAGTTCCAAGTTGGTCTTCATTGTCGTCCGCCGTACGTTTAAGCGCATAATTAGCACAACCGGGGGAGGATGCAGCCCCGAATAAGTGCACTGTCATGCAGTACTCTTCTGGCTCCATGGTAAGGTTTCCACTGGGCCACCATAAGAACCGTAAGAAATCTTGATCTTCTTCTCTCACTTTCACTTGTTAGAACATCTGTTCGATGTCAGCTGTAAATGCTACCTTTTCTTGTCGAAATCGGGTTAGGACTCCGATAAGTTTGCTCGTGAGGTCTGGCCCTTGCAATAAATGGTCGTTCAATGATTCTCCGAGATAACGTGACGAGCAGTCAAAGACAACCCTGATCTTTCCCGGTTTATGTGGGTGGTACACACCGTGGTGGGGTATGTACCACACTCTTCCTTCTTTCACTGGTTGTTCCCTTTGATCAATCTTTCGCGCATAACCTTTCTTGATAATTTCGTTCATAAAACTTAAATAGTCCGTACGATACTGTTCATCATTCTGAAGTTTCTTTCTTAGGCCACGAAGGCGTTGCTCGGCCGCAGGTCGGTTATTTGGTTTATTGGTTTATTTGGTTAATTGGAGTCTTGTATCACTTCCTTTCACTCCCAATTTTCTCAAGGTTTCTTGTTTCATAAAGGTGCCGCCACTGGCATTGTCGAGTAGGGCATACACTGCTACTTTCTTACCCGGATTGTCTCTATGATACAACCATACTGGTACTATACCCATGTTAACTGGATTGTCACCAGCTTCGGTGATGTCACAAATTGTTGCATGAGAGTTATTAACTTGATTATCTGGGGAGTTGTTTTTTGCATCGTGTTCGTCCATGTCCTCGGTTTCCTTCTCTTTATTGGATTTATCAGGCGGTTTCCAGTGAGGGTCATGTAAGGCAGTGGGGTGATTCCTTTTACATATCTGGCATGATTTCTTTCGTTTGCAAAACTTGGCGATATGACCTTGCCCATAACATCCATAGCACATTCCCTTGATTTTTAGGAAATTCTTTCTCTTCTCTAAAGATTGTTTCTTGAATTCTGCGCATTGGTCTAAATCATGCGGCTTGTGGCACATCGCACACGTTAGGGGACTCTTTGATTGTTGATTGCCTTCCCTTGATAGTGTACCAAAATTGGATCCTCTAGATCTTCGATCTCGTTTCACAGGTTGTGAGATTTCCTTGTAGACAGAGTCCTCTGAATAGACAGGATCAGTGGCCAAATCTGCTTGTTTGGTTACAAACTGTACAAAATCTGCAAAGCTAGGCATTCTTTCTTGGTTAGTTTTAATATTGTTCGCTCTTTCGCACCACTTTCCACGAAGATACCGAGGTAATTTTTCCCATAATTGGCGCATAACATGAGCAGTGTTTAAATCACCCATATAATCCATTCTCTTCATAGCTGCTTTCGTCTGTTCTAACATTATGGCGAATTCTTGTAGTTTTCCTCCCTCGTTTGGCTTGATCTGCGTCCAATTTGATAGTTTTGTGATGTAAGAGTTTGCTATCTTGAAGGAATCCCCAAAGTGTTTCTTTAAAAGTGCTTTCGCTTCTTCATATGACGACTCAGATTTGCTTTGAAAACATCCTTTAATTACCTTTTTTGCTTGGCCAGCAGTGTACTGCTCCAGATAATATAAGCGCTCTATGGGGTCAGTGACTTTGGCCTCAACCAAAGTGTCAAATGCTGTGATAAATGCTGGATAGTCCATCGCTTCGCCATAAAATGTTGGAGGTTTGTGGGTTGGAAGGGTACTCTTCAGTTGATGAGTTGCCATGATATTTGTCAACTCAGTCTGCCTTTTCTGTATCTTGAGGAATTCTTTAAATGGGTCAATGTCAGCGAATGCATCTTTGGCTTTCTGATCGTTGTCGTGGGTTAAATTTGATTGTGTTTCGTCTTTGGGAGCTAAGGTTGATGTTATTATTTCCACCGGCCTTTGCTCACTGGATGTAACCTTTGCATTAGGTGCAGTAGCTACAGGAGTAAGCTGATCTGTGGAAACAATTGGGTTGCTCTGCACTTGATTATCTAAACCATCACCATTAGCAACAAGCTTTGCTAGGTGGGCATCTGAATGCCCAGTTTGTTGTTCAATATTTCTATGATCAGGTTCAAAGGGCATAGCATTGGCATTTAACTCAACATTGTCCGTATATGTGCCTAATTCCTGTTCATAAATTTGCTCTTCTACCTTAGCTTCAGCCATTTGCTGTTTAAGTTCTAATTCTTCTGCTGCCATTCTAAGTTCTTGTTTTCTTTTCAAAAATGAAGCTTTTACTTCTAAGGCTGCTGACTTAGCTCTTATTGCAGTTAACCTTGCTCTTGTAGAGGCTGAAGATGCCACTGATAAACTAGATCTATTAGAAATATTTGATCGTTCGGACTTGTTACATTGAGCTTCTAATGCATCTTTGTCCTTGGCTGTGGCTAGGAATTCAATAATTTTTTTCTTGAATTCAAACACATTTCTATCTTGCGTGTCATACCAGCCTTTTGCTAGTTCGATATCTCCTTCATTATTTAGTTCCTTTAGGTATAGTACATGGGCTTGTTGTAAGTCCACAAATAGTTTATCTATTCGAGATGCATATGTTCGTATTACTTCTTCGTTTTCAACTGAAGCCAATAAAGGAACTATTCTTTCAATTTGTCTTTCGATGTCAAGTGAAATGTACTTACGGTTTTGCTCCAGTGTTCCTAAGCGTTCTCTGTCACAAACATAATGAGCATTGGTATGTTTATCCGTATTAACTCTTTCAGTACTACTAGGAATTCGATTTTCCGTGTCCGTGTTTCCGTTTAAATTAAAGAACTCATCTGGATTAAAGTGCGAGACGCCTACGCTTGAGTTCGTTTCATGTACTTGTTTATATATCACGGGCTCCGCTACATCGGTCTGCGGATCAGCAACGTCCTGATAACGTGGTGTAAGTGGCGAGAATAATGGCGCCGATTCTTCGAGCATTGGCATAAATGGCAAGCTCATCTGTTCTTCATTTATTTCGTCCAGTAGACTCAATTCACCGTTTAGAAGATGTTACATGACATTCTTTGTTCCTTTATCTTGTTATTAACCGTTCATTATGGTTGAACTATAACTGTCGTTGGTTGAAAATAAACGCTTTTAATCTTTGAACCTTGCAAAAGGTTCAACCATGTGCCGAACAGTAAAACAACAAAAAAAACCAGAGCCCAGGCATGCGCAATATAACTCGCTCCGGGCTCCACGCGCTACGTTCGCCTTTACAAAAACCATGTAGTTTATTCAGTTGATCAGTTGTTAAATCTGGTGAAATATCGAATTCAAATTGACCTGTTTGTTCAGTCGGAAGATTAGTATTCTGTTTAGTGAATAAAGGATTACATGTTTGTTCCGCTGATAAGGACATAATATTGTTAATCTCGCTTTGTTTGAAAAACGTTCCCAGTGTAGTATACCTATAAATTTTAACCGGTTTTTCAGTAGGGTTTACCAATCGAAAGGGGACCAGACCTGCTGGAGATACATACACAAGCGCTGCGGCGCCACAAATATTAAATCGCTGCGGTAAATTTCCATTGGCCTCTATCAAACCTATTGTTTCAGTAATATTATTGTCCTTAAATGTCGCTGGAATAATACATTCGGAATTTGGGGGAATAACGTGAGTGTCAGCCGCATAAATGGTATAGTCTGAGTTATCATGACTTTCAGGTTCTGTATCTGCAAACGGTAATGGATCTTCTGCTATTTCTTCAGTTTCGATTGTAGGCTTGTGGTCGCTAGTCTCAGTTTGACGCGTACTAGGTGTATTAAGCATAACCAGATTATCACGATCGATTTTGAGATAACCAGATTTAAAATCTATAATACAATCAAATCGTTCAAGAAAATCCTTTCCTAAAATAGCCATAAAATGAAGCTTTGGTAAAACACATGTTTTTACCATATAACTAGCGTTGCCTAAATAGAATTCCAAATTGACATCTTCTAAAACTTGAACTATTTCGCCACTTGCGGTTTGCGCTGTTTTACATTGTCCTGATGTTCCTAAAGCCAATTTCGAATTTTGTCGAATTTTCTCCCAGAAAGCTTGATTAATTACAGTAATAGCGGAACCCGTATCAATGAGAATATTTGCATCAATGCCTTCGATTTTCCCAATTACAGTGACGTAATGCGTTTTTCGAAGATCTGGGTGAGCAAATGTATTGTTTGGAACAGAACGTTTTCGTGCAAAGAGAAAACAAGGTTTATCGTGATATTGACTAGATGTATGTGCGCTTTCTTGCTGTATAGCGTTCAAAGGTGGTGGTGGGGGAGGAGGCGGTGGCAATGCTGGAAAACGTGTAGACCTTCCTGAATAAAGGTTTGATCTTGGGTTATTTTGATTAAAATTATTTCTTGTAGTTTGCCCTGGTGTGTAGTGTTGCAGCTGAGGTAATGAGCTTCTAGGCATATTAAAATTTGTTCGGCTTTGTGAGAAATTTGAACGACTCAGGTTTACAAAACAACGATTTGCAATATGCTTAACTCTATTACAACGATTACAAATTGGTTGACCATCAGTGGTGCGCCGATTACGAGAAGCATTGTAAGCGTTTGGAACCATTTGTGTCGGTCCTACTCTCGGTCTAATGTTGGCTGGCGTTGACTGAACTTGATTTTGCAACCTGATAAACTCTTCACAAGTGACGTAATTCGGAAACTGGTCAGAATTGCTATGAGTATTACGTGCTGCTTGGACGTGTGTTGTCGAGTGTGACGAAACAAAATCTATAGGTGTTAAGGCGCGAATTTGGACTTGTTAGAGTTGAGGTTACTGGGCGCGAAAGCGAATTTTTCAAACGCGCAGCATCAACAGCGGCGGGATATGTATCTGGTAACTGCAAAATAACATGCTCTTTTAGATCTTGACGTAGTCCTTGAACAAAGCATTGCATAGTTTCTGCATCTGTGAGCTGTAAGCGCGCTGCTCTAGCGTCAACATCGTCAAGATAGCTTTCCAGCGGCTCTACTGGTCCTTGCGTGCGGTTATTCAATTCTTGGCGCCGGAGGAACTGTTGATGTGGTGATACAAATACTTGTCTTAAAGCATCTTGTAA